CGGCCGCGCCCGGGCTGCCCGGGCCCGCGGCTGCAGCAGCGGCGGCCGCCGCTGCAGCGGCCGCCGCCATCTGGCAGGAGGCGAAGGGCTGGGCGAAGGCGGCTGCGGTAGTGGCCAGGAGTTGTTGAGGAAGCCGGACTGCAGGTACTTGGGGGGCGCCAGGTAGCCGTAGCCGTCGGCCCCGGCGCCAGCGACGCCGCAGCCGCCCGCGGCGCCTCCGGCCCCGAAGAGCCCCTTGCCGGGCTGGAAATGCGCGGGCGGCGGCCGGAAGGGCCGCTTCATGCGGCGGCGGCGCCGGTAGTTGCCCTTCTCGAACATGTCCTCGCAGGCCGGGTCCAGCGTCCAGTAGTTGCCCTTGCGCTCGCCGCCGCCCTCGCGCGGCACCTTGATGAAGCACTCGTTGAGGCTGAGGTTGTGGCGGATGCTATTCTGCCAGCCCTTCTTGTTCTTCTCGTAGAACGGGAACTTGGCGATAATGTACTGGTAGATGCCGGACAGCGTGAGCCTCTTCTCGGCGCTCTCGCGGATCGCCATGGCGATGAGCGCCACGTACGAGTACGGGGGCTTCTGCGCGGGGTCGGGTTTCTCCGGGGCTGACCCGGCGCCGCCGCCGCCGCCTCCCTTGCCGGGGCTCGGCGGCGGCGGCGGCGCCTCGGGCTCCTTGGCTGCGCGGCCGGTCTCCGGGGCCAGCAGGGCCCCCGCGGCGTCCTCGGGCTCGGGGTAGCTGGCCATCATGACAAAGCCGGCGCGCGGCGGCCAGGCAGCCCCTGCTCTTTTCCCTTGGCGCTGGCGCGGCAGAGAGTCCGGGCGCACAAGTCCGCTCACCGCCGAGTCTCAAACTTCTGGAGACTGCGGATGCCGCCCGTGCTCGCTCGCTGGCGGCCTCTCGCTCCTTTCCTCTCCTCTTCCCCTTCCCCTAGGGAGCGGCTGGCGGGAGTGGAGCTCAGCCTCTGGCCATGGGGAGTCCGCCCAGCAGAGAGGGGCTCCGGCCCCGCCGCCCCTCCCCGCCCAGGCCAGTCCCCGCCTCGGTGGGTTTTCTTTTCGGCGCTCTTCCCCTCCCCCCACCCTCCGGTTTCCCGAGGCACGACCCGCGTCTCTGGCGGAGCTGCCTCCTGGAGTCCCTAGTGCGCCAGGAGCCTCGCTCAGTTCTGATTCGTATGGGCTCCGCGGAGTTCCGCTTGCGTCAGGCGCCTTCGCCCCTATAGCGGGGCGGCCAGTCGCGCACGGGCGAGTTCATCTCCAAGTCACTTTTTGTAAACGCCCCGCACAGCCCGGACCGGCCTGCCCCCTCCCAGCGAGCTGAGGGGGCCCGGCGGACGACAGGGCTCACGCTTTCGCAAGCCCTTGCAATCCGCGGGTGCTGGCTCTGCGGATTGGGCCGGGAGATGCCGAGGGCCCCGGCGGGGTCCGTCCGCACTCGGCCAGTGCCCAGGGAGCTCGGGCCCTAGCGAGGAGAGGTGCGCCAAGCCTCCTCGCGGCTTTCAGGTGAAGAAAAACGACTCCTCTGCTCTGCCCTTTGCTGCGGTCTCGGGGCTAAACTTCTAGCTTGGGGCTGGGGGAGGGGCGGGACAGGGAGGGGGCTGGATGGCGGTGGGGTGGAGAGAGCTGCGCGGTGGCTTTGGGAAAATCAGACTAGAAACGAGGGTCACCGAACCAAGAAGCCTCGGCCTGGCCTGGCCTGTCCGTGGCGCTTTCAGAGTGACTGGGTCGAATGGGGTTGAGGAGAGGATCGGGAAGGGGTGCCCAGAAGCTCCGCCCGAAGCCCCTTGACCTTTCCTTGCGCTGCCCCTGGACCTAGGGACCCTCCTCAGAATCCGCGTTGTAATCCTACGGGTAGGGTCGTATGTGTGTTTTAACAACACCAAGCAGACCCTACTCTAGTCCTGCTCCTGCACGGTGTGACTGTTGCTGTGGGGCTTTGGGGGATTTTATTTGCATGTGCACCGGTATCATATATAGAGGTCATGGGGAGGGTCTATCTTTGAGACACATGTGCTGGTGCAAAAACACAGGTATGCACACGGACAAGGTGCGATTTATATTTCTGGTAAAACATTCATACTTACAGATATGTAATGGTACATGTGTATCATCTAGCAGTAAACGTGGTTCCGGGAACTTCTTTCTTTTTCCTCTCTTTTCTCTCTCCTCCCCTCTCTCTTTTCTTCCTTCTTTTCTTCCCTTCCCCCCTTTCCCCTTCTTTTGTCAATATTCTGTTACAGACTGGGAAGAAAAGCAAGAGGCTGTGAGGGAGGCATTTGTTCAAATCTCTCTCTTGACAAGACATTTCTTCTGATCTTTCTCTAGGGCTGAGGGGTGAATGAATGCTCACCTGCCTTAAGCAGAAGTCTGAATGGGTCCCAGTTACACCTGCATGCCCTGAGATTGTCTCCGGGAAAATGAATGCTGGCAGAAAAGGCAGCTGTGTTTTTTAACAGTTTTAACTTAGCTTTGACAAAAAGTCTGCAATCATAAAGTGTGAGAGAGATGGCTGGTGTTT